AACAACATGCAAGCTGTCTCTCATCACACACACACACACGTTTAAATAGTAATTATACATATGTAGTTATTAGTGATTTTAATGGCTTATTGCCTTTCTGAATTCTTAAATATTTTTTTGCAGTGAATATGTAACACTTTGGAAGAAAGAAAAAAATTGTCAAATGTATACACACACACACACACACACACACACCCCCTTCCAAGGCGAGAAAGCTGAGTGGAAGGAATTCGTTTCTAATAGAGGAATTTCAAACAGAAATCCTGTATTGGTGGAGGGCTGTCGCTGGCCCCCTCCCATGCCCTCGCCCCTCCCCCATTCCCAGGCTCACTCAGAGCCCCAGGTGTCACCTTGCTGCCCTGCCCCAGCCTGGGCTCCCCAGGTCACCCCTCTGAGCCACGTGAGAGCTGGCTCTTTGTTCTGTCACCTCTGCATTCAGCAGCCAGCCCAACACTTGGGCTGCAAAGAGGGAACACCCTATAAAAATTAGGAGAAAGAAGCGACTCACTGGGGAAACATCTAATGCGGACGTGGAGAAAGAGGCCACACCACCCCTGAAGGACAAGTGATGATGCCCAGAAAAGCGGCTTCCACTGGGCCTGCAACGCTGACCTTCACCTGTCACGAGCACCATGGAAGAAAGTCGCGCCGAGGGTGCGTGCGGGGACCAGCCACTCCGTGTGGGAGACCGGGTTTCCCCTCCAGCGGCGTTTTGCATCAGACTTGCTGGCAATGTTTTGTGCTAAAAAAGTTACACATTGAGCTGAAAAGTCAAGGCTGCGACGGTGTGATCAAGAAGGACGTGCAAAGGGCACAGCGGAGCCTGATATTAACGTCCTCTCCTAACCCACGGTAGGAGACATGAGGACACTGATATAACCTTTGAAACTCAGAATTCAAGAAAAATAGGACGTTCCTGGCCCTGGTTTAATTTGCTGCATCTGAGGAGAGCAAACCCAAGCCCTAAGAGGCAACGCCCGTGAATTCGCTTCCAGCCTTTCCAGGGCCCTTCATTTAAACAGCTGGAACACCGTTCCAGAACCTCTGGGGACGAGAGACCTGTCTCCCGCAGAGAAGTGTGCGTTTCGTTTCGCCGGCCGACGCGGTGTTCTGGACCTCGCTTATTCCCCGTAGAAACAGCGCTGTTCGAGACTCGTGCTCAGCATACACCACGCAGTCAGTCACCGCAGAGTCCTTTCCGTCACGAAAGGCTCCAGGCATGCAGAGGAGGTTACGAAGAATACAAACCTTATAACAAAACAGTTTCTGCTTCCAAAGCTCTAAACTCCACATAATGAAAAGTGGGGTGTGAAAACATCACTAAACGCCATCTTAAACATCTGACGTTCCTAATGAGAGACTCAGTCGAGAGGAATAGTAAAATAAATGACGGAGTATCGCAAACTTGGTGGCTCAGATAGCAGAGGGTAAGCTTGTACAAGGAGACTAGGCACCTGCACAATTTCCTAAATTCTACTGCATTGGAGAAAGTGATACGGAACCTAAGAATTTACACCTAGAATTTATAACAGCTACAGGTATTTTAAGAAGAGGAGAAGGGCCGGGCGCGGTGGCTCACGCATGTAATCCTAGCACTCTGGGAGGCCGAAGCGGGCGGATGCTCGATCAGAGTTCGAAAAACCAGCCTGAGCAAGAGCGAAACCCGTCTCTACTATAAAATAGAAAAAAAACTAATTGGCAACTAAATACACGATATATAGAAAAAAATAGCCAGGCATGGTGGCATATTCGTGTAGTCCCAGCTACTCGGGAGGCTGAGGCAGGAGATCACTGTAGCCCAGGAGTTTGAGGTTGCTGTGAGCTAGGCTGATGCCTTGGCACTCACTCTAGCCTGGGCAACAAAGTAAGACTCTGTCTCAAAAAAAAAAAAAAAAGAAAAGAAAAAAAAAAAAAGAGGAGAAAATCTTTTCATGGTAAAACCCTGGCACTCTCTGGCATCCATGTCTCCAGAACTCTCTCAGGCTTTCCAACCGGGTCCCAACCAGGAGACACTAAGCACACACATATCCACGTATATACTGACATACAAGATGCCCAGAATATTTTTGCATTTCTTTATTTTCTAAGTCAAATATGTCCTGGACCTCAACTACCTACCTGGCAGAAAATCCAGTGTGAGCCATGTTGTGGGGGTTCCCCTTTCTGGGCTCGTGCAGGAACTCGAGGAAAGGTCCGCGGACCCAGGGCTCAGCCAAAGGTCGGTGAGCTTCACCACGAAGACCCCAGCCAAGCAGGCCAGGCTTGCAGGTGGGGCTGGCCACTCCCCGAGCGCACACAACTTAGGGGCCCCAGGCGAGGCACTGCAGGCTCAGGGCCCACAGGTCCACCCCCACCGCCGAGGAAACCCCCAAAGCTTAAACTCCAGCCACGCACCCATCTCAAGTTGCACCTGTCCCCTCTTCCTGTCCGAGAGCCGCCTCCCTCCTTCCCACTGGTGGTATGGAGGGAGTTGCGGGGCAATTTCAGCCTAATAACTCTCTTCCTCCAACGAAGGGGTAACGAGACTCTAGCTCAGACATTACAAACCAGATGTCTGAGGGCAAAATTGAGTTGCTTTGGGTCTACTCCGTTTTTATCACTTTGCCAACACTTTAAAAATGTCTAGAATTTTCACATAAAAACCCAGCTTCCTGGCCGGGCGCAGTGGCTCACGCCTGTAATCCCTAGCACTCTGGGAGGCCAAGGTGGGAGGATCACTCAAGGTCAGGAGTTTGAGACCAGCCAGAGAGAGAGCAAGACCTCGTCTCTACTAAAAATGGAAAGAAATTAGCTGGACAACTAGAAATATATAGAAAAAATTAGCTGGGCATGGTGGCGCATGCCTGTAGTCCAGCTACTCAGGAGGCTGAGGCAAGAGAATTGCTTAAGCTCAGGAGTTTGAGGTTGCTGTGAGCTAGACTTATGCCACAGCACTTTAGCCTGGGCAACAGAGCAAGACTCTCTCAAAAAAAGAAAAAGAAAAAAAAACACGCTTCCCGTTGGCAGGTGCTCTGGCAACACCGGGGCCACACCCCCACATGCTGTGGCTGGCTGGAGCTGAGTGACGGCATTCCGTGGGACGTGTGTTCTCTGCTCTGCCGCAGTCTCCACTACTCCCCATCGTAGCACCAGGGACAATCATAAACTTACATTACCTACTTGACCCGTGTGAGAGTTGAATTTTGCAATGTTTGATCTAGGTCTTAACCCTTTGCACTCGCTAGCTTTTTCTCTCGATTCCTTTATTCTATTCGGGATTTAATTTTTTAAATATCCCAGATTTTACAAAGCGTGGCAGTAGAATAAAAAACTGGAATTTCTTTTCATACAAACTTATTTATTTGGATTTTTTTATATTTCAAATTATTGACATATTCAAAGAGTAATTTTAATCTCTATAATTTTTGCTAACCATGTCGAGTCACACTCGACATCCGAGTGCAAAGGGTTAAAGGTTAGGCTGCCTCTCTGGGGTTAGGAAAAGGAGCAATTACCTTTTCGTTCTTTCAGGTTTCCCAGAGAATAAGCCAAAAGGTAAGGTTTCCATAGCGTAGCCTGCCACTGCCACCCCGGAACTCCTCCCTCGGGAAGCACAGGCAGCTGAGCACGGCAGCCACCAGCTTCCCGGGCTCATGCGGTGTGTGGCTACTCAGCTACCCACATGTTAAAGAAAAAATTATTCCCACACTTGTTAAAAGACTTCAGACTCTCGTGATGGGGACAGGGACCACGCAGTGGGGGTTTGCAGCAGGACAGAGAGAGCGGGCTCAACTCCAAACACAACAAGGAAAAGTGGGAATTTATGGGGAAAGAGCAGGGCTGGGAGATTCAGGCTTCCTGTTGAAGGCGGGCCCTGGTGGGGGTGGGGGCCTGGGCTTTGGTCAGGTGTCAAGCGGGTCGATATCGAGGGTGGGGGTTCTGGCTAAGCTGACGGCAGGATTCTTCCCAAAACTGGGCTCCTGAGATCTGCCCAGGACCTGCCAAGAGTCTGGAGCCTATTTGACAAGCGGCTCCGAGGAGGCCGACTGGAGTTTGGCCAAGGAGAGAACATTTGTCATAGCCCTCGCCTCCTCACAGACAAACCTCTCTGAAAAACCAGAAGGGCTGTACCCGCTGGCCATGTCTGCGACTCTCCCACTGCCAGCTGTGACCGGGGAGAGGGGAGCGGAATGCAGAAAGCAGCAGCGCAGCTCCGCAGGGTGGTCTGTCCCAGCAGAAGGAAGGGAGCTGGCCCCAAAGGGACAGGGGACCCGGCAGATACGGCCAGCACAGTGGCTGTCCACTGAGGGCCCATGACACCCAGGGGGGCCGGCTGGCTGAAGGGGTGGCAGTCACAGTGCAAGGTGACCCAGCAACAGTGGCGGGCTGTGACTCAGCCTCAGTTCCACACCGCGCACGTTTGTATCACAGCCATGAGGGTAGGAGGTTGCATCTCGCATCACAGAAAAATATTAGGATGCATAAAATTAAAAGGTTCTTGGGTAACCTCCCAATACACATCACATTCCCTTCCCCAGAATGACACGGTCCTAGAAGATACGAGGGAGTGAGCTTCCCAATGCATCTGAATTTTAAGGAAGATGTGACACAGAGACAGGCCCCGTCTCCTGGGCACCCCGGCCGCCAGGTGCGCTCCCAGCAAACGGCGCTCGCCCACGTGCTCCGTGCAGTTAACAGTGCACGGGCATAACCAGCACTGCCTCCTACTAACCAGTGTGGAATCTATAGTCAACACCAACAGCTGTTATTACTCACCGGGGTATTCATGGGGTAGGGCCAGGAGGAAGGGCTGGGCTGAGGGCCAACTTGCAAAGGACAGGAGGGAGGTAAGGCCACGGCTGTCGTGGATGGACACTGGGCAGGGTGAGAAAGAACAACCACGACGTTAACTAGTGTTGAGTACTGTCTCGTGAAAGACTCTGTGTATGTCACTTTATAAGTGTTGTCTCATTAAATCTTCTCCAGAATGCAGTAGGGGCTATATTATCCCCATTTTGCAGGGAAGGAAACAGGTGGAAGCCAGTTACATGCTTGCCCCGGGCCTTGATGGCAGTGAATGGTAGAGCTGGGATTTCAACCTGAGTCCCAGGAATCTGGGAACAGCAGGACAAACGAAAAAGGTAAAGGAGGCGAGAAATTAGGAGAGAGATAAATAGAAAAGTCCAAATGAGTGTGTCACAGCACCAAGGAATACAGTTGCGGGGACGGGGTTTAGGGAGGGGAGGTGGCATCAAAAGTGGCAAGTGCTGTGGAGCTCTAGTTAGAAAAGGAAAGAGACTCAGCCTCAGGAGGGGCCCCAAGGATGGCGGTGGAGGCGGTGACTGTCACTGGAGCCGTAAGGGCCAAAGGAAAACTGTAGAGTGATGAGGAATGACTGGGAGATGCAGAGATGTAGACAGAGAACAACAGGCACCTGTCCAGGAAGCTGGGCTGTGGCATAAAGATCAAACCCCTTTAACATGTAATTTCTTTTTTTTGAGACAGGGTCTTGCTCTGTTACCCTAGCTAGAGTGCCGTGGTGTCAGCCTCGCTCACAGCAACCTCCAACTCCTGGGCTCAAGCGATCTTCCTGCCTCAGCCTCCCAAGTAGCTGGGACTACAGGCAAGTGCCACCATACTGGGACAATTGTTTCTATTTTTAATAGAGATAGGGGTCTTGCTCTTGCTTGCTCAGGCTGGTCTGGAACTCCTGACCTCAAATGAGCCTCCCACCGCAGCCTCCCGGAGTGCTAGGATTACAGGGGTGAGTGACCGCGCCCGGCCAACATGTAATTTCATGGTTAGGGCAAAATGCAAGAGAGTCCAAAGCCACTGGGAGCCCCGGCCAAAGGTGGCCTGCACATGCCATGCGCCAGGCTTCTTGTGGCACAAACCATCCCCCCCAAATCCGCTACTTCCTCAGAACAAGTGGTACCCTGTTGGGGTATTTGAAATCCCTTTCCTGCCTGCCAAGGTGCTGAAAGTAAATTTGCAAGTATAATCTGTGCAGCCATGTGCTGCAGCAACCCTCTGGAGGACAAAGAACTCCTGTGAACACCACTCAGGTTGCTGATCTGCCACAAATGCAGGCACTGGCGCCCTTCATCGCTTCTAGGAATTCCAAATGTCCACTGAAAACATTCTCCATAAACATCCCATGTGAGCCATGCATTTTTGCCTTGGAAATGTCCTTTTTTTTTTTGAGACAGTCTCACTCTGTCCCCCAGGTAGAGTGCAGTGGCACCATCATAGCTCACTGCAACCTCAAACTCCTGGGCTCAAGGGATCTTCCTGCCTCAGCCTCCCCAAGTGGCTGGGACTTCAGATGAACGACACCATGCCCAGATAATTTTTCTGGTTTTTTGTAGAGATAAGGGTCTCACTCTTGCTCAGGGGCTGGTCTGAAACTCCAGAGCTCAAGCGATCCTCCCACCTCTGCCTCCCAGAGTGCCAGGATGACAGTTGGTTTGGTTTTAGAAAGCAGCCATGGCCGGGCGCGGTGGCTCACACCTGTAATCCTAGTTCTCTGGGAGGGTGAGGCGGGTGGATCCTTTGAGCTCAGGAGTTCGAAACCAGCCTTAGCAAGAGCGAGAGCCCATCTCTACTATAAATAGAAAGAAATTAATTGGCCAACTAATATATATAGAAAAAATTAGCCAGGCATGGTGGCGCATGCCTGTAGTCCCAGCTACTCGGGAGGCTGAGGCAGGAGGATTGCTTGAGCCCAGAAATTTGATGTTGCTGTGAGCTAGGCTGCCGACATGGCACTCACTCTAGGCTGGGCAACAGAGTGAGACTCTGTCTCAAACAACAAAAAAAGAAAGAAAACAGTCATTCTCAAAGATGGACAGCTATCTACGCTCTAGAGCCCCAATGAGGGGCTAACTTTCTCTGACTCCCCTACTTCTAAAGCAAGATGCAGTTTGGGAACAAAGTCACAAAAAGGAGAAACAGGATTTTGTCTGTCCCCCACCACCACACAGAACCGGCTACCTGAAATTTTCAGGATGGAAATACGCTCAGATTTTCCCTGAGGGGTTAAATACACAAGAAACTCCGTAACCATTAGGTAGGATGATGATAAATTACTAGAGCCTTCCTTTCTTTCTTCAATCCGCACAGCCCTCTTGTCCTCAAAGAAATCCACAGAGCTGGAAAGATATAGGAGACAAAAGCGGTAAAGAAAAATCTAGGGCAAAAACAAAAGTGGAAAATTCACAGCAGTGTTCTTGCATGTTAAACTAATCCCTGGTTAATCAAACACTTTGAATGTGATTCCTAAAGTCAATCTTTTCTTTTTCGTTAAAAAACAAATGCCTGCAGTCTAACGTTTTATAGAACGACGATGGAATAGAATTGAAAACATAAATTCCAAAATATCTTACATCTAACTAAAGCGACCAAAAGTTTAGGGAAGCGAAAGTAACTGAAATAGGCTTCCTCTGTTCTTTTTTTTTTTTTTTAATGTTTGCTAAATCGGCTTAGAATTGAGCTAGAGAAAGGATTAAGTGCAGAGGAGGGGAGGGCTGCTCTCTAATCAGCGTCCGTGAGAACTGTGGGCAGTTTCGGGCTCAGGCCCGGATACTCCCCCTGCCCGGGGGACCGCCACCTCTCAGCCACCGTGGTTCCACCTGCAAAGGCCTTTCCCACGTCATGCTGCTTCCAGGAAGGTCAATGGCGACGCCGTCGGCCAAACACGCCCCGACTTTCCTGGGTTCAGTTGCTGCAGTGTCTTTTTAGATGTTAATTTTATGATTCACTCAAAGGCTTTCAAAAGAAAGAGGCTTTTAAGCGACGCAAGAATCAAATGCGGTTTGAAGCCCTGGCGAGCCGATACGATCGGTCTCTGGAAAGGCACGAAAGCATGCGGTAGAACGGGTTCGGCTTGGAACTGAAACCACACACAGGAGAAAACGTTTGCAATAGAGGAGGTGTCACTTCCAGAGGGAACTTAGCAAGGGGCCCGTTTCCCAGTGCGGTTTATTTGTCGCAGGAGATTTCTTCCCCATCCACGTATCCTTTCTCACAGGAGACTGGGAAGGGTAGCCAGCTGCAAATGCCTACACTGACATATTTAAGATTCCTAGCAAAGCCATGAAAGCTTTCCGTGATTGAATTTAATATATTAAGTTTCCACGTAGAACTATTTTTAACCAGTCTTGTCCAACGCGCAGAATTTTGGATGACTTTTACGCTTTACTATGGACTTTTCTTTCCATTTGTAAGATTTATGTGTTTAACAAGTATTTGCTGGTAAAAGGCTTAACAAAAGCACTGGTGAGTCACTCCAGAATGTGTTTGCACACGGCCGGCCAGGCTGAATGGAGGGAAAGCTCAGAGGAGGGAGGATCTTCAGGGGGGGGAATACGTGGCCACATGCACCGCCCTGGCGCTGCCCCCCCCCTCCCAGCCAGCAGGGAAGCCCTCACTCCACCCCACCCCCTGTGAAGGCAGGCAGGGGTTCAAGGGGTTTCTCTTCTTCACTTTCTTCCATTTTTTTTCCAATAAAATATTTCAAACATACCAAAAGGCCTAAACAGTAATACAGTCAACAACTTTTATTCCGCAACCACCCAGCTCAAGGAAGGAAACATTTCAAAAACTGTTCCCAGGACAGCCCTGACCCTAATCTCATTCTCCTCCCTCTCTTCAAGCAGCAACTCCAATCTTGAATTGACTGTTCTCATTACCATAGACTTCTTTCATTACACATGTAAACACTGCTAACACTATTTAAGTACTACATTTAGGTATTGCACATTTTAAAGCTTTAGATGAATGGGATACTACAAGGTTACCCAAAGTTGTGTGGGGTCCTACGCAAATGTTTTTTTTGTGGGGTTCCTGTCTACGTAAACAATTTGAGTTGCCCAAAACAGCATGTGAGCACCATCCTGGCAGCCCAATCTTATGCTATGCCACTAGCCAACAGGAGCAATGGCTCACAATCCTGCCTGCAATGTAGGCTTGGCACATGGGAACCCAGGCAAGCTGCTCAGGGCATCTGGTCAATCCCAGGCACTGTGCAGGCAGGGGAAGGGACAGCAGGTCCATACAGATCTCTGTCCTACCTCAGCCCTCGCTCCAGAGATGTGGGACCCAGGACAGCTGCCCCGCTTGCCCCAGTCTAGGACCAGAACTGGTATGCCATATGTAAACTTCTGCAATTCATAGTTTCCCTTCAACATTGTGAGAGTCAGCCATCTTGACAACCATAGCTCCTGCTCATTCGTTTTCACTGATATTTAGCATTCCATTATATGCATAGACAACAATTCATTCTCCTGACAACAGACATTTCCTTTGTTTCCATTTTCCCACTATAAAAGAATGATACATTAGATATTCCTCTACACCTCTCCTGTGCAAGGGTTTGTCTATGGTGCAGATTCCTAAAAGAGGAATCACTGGATCTTGTCGTATGTATATTTTCAGCTCTTTTTTAGCCTAAAGCTGCCTCCTTAATATTTTAAGTTTGGCCTAAAGGTTTCTCCTTACATAGTGAACCGCAGCCTAACTGGATGGGCAAAGAGACTGTGACCTACTCTTGTACCAATGACTGGGTTTCAGCCAATCACAGATGGCCAACCATTCTGACTGTTCAAGGCAAATGTGAGCTGTAACCAGTGCATATCAGCACATCTGGCTATTTATTCTATTTTTTGTAGAGACAGGGCTTGCTTGCTCTTGCTTAGCCTGGTCTTGAACTCCTGGCCTCAAGCAATCCTCCTGCCTTGGCCTCCCAGAGTACTAGGATTACAGGAGTGAGTCACTGTGCCCAGCCTAATTTACTATTTTGTTTTGTCCTTTCGTGAAATGCCTATCTTTTCTATTGAGTTGTCTTTTTAATATTAAGTCTTTACATATTTTGGACACTTCATATAATCTGCTACTAATATTTGTGAGTAAAATATGTTGCATATACGTCCTCAGATTCAATATCTTTTTACTCTTCCGTTTTGTCTTTTTCTGCAGTCTTCAAATTTAATATCAGTGAAGTTAATCTTATTTTGTTATTTGCTCTTTTTATGACTTATAAGGAATCTCTCCTAACCTGAGGTCATAAGCATTTTCTTCTAAAAGTTGGGAGTTTTTCTCTCTCCTATTTAGATCTTCAGTCCACCCTGCAATTGATTTTTGTTTATACTGTGAAGATTCAACCTTATTTTTTCTTATATGAATAACTAGTCGGACACTTTTCCTTCCCCATTGATCTTGCACGCCCCTCTGGAGTTTATCCATGTCCACACACGCATGCGTACTTTTCCGTGCTTTCTACCCTACACCATTCATCTGCCTGTGCCTTCACCAGTACCTCTCTGAGTTATTAGACTACTATAAAACATAGTTATATCTAGCAGAGCAAACCTTATGCTTCTTCAAAGCTGGTTATTCTTGGCTCCTTGCTTTTCTACTAAAATGTAAAATCAGCTTGTTAAGATCCAAGAAAAATCCAATTTGGATTTTATTTTTTATTTTTTTTTGAGACAGAGTCTCGCTTTGTTGCCCAGGTTGGAGTGAGTGCCATAAAGTCAGCCTA